CCGTTGCCGGTCCTGGTCTGGTACGGAGGCGACACTGAGGGTTGCGATCCGTTGCCGGACACGGAAAAAAAAAGACAAAAAAAACCCCAAAAAAAACCCCATGACGTCTAAAGACTTAAGACTTCCACTCTGAGGGTGCGTCCCAGTTTACTTAATGGAGCCTCTGTTTTGTGACTTTTTGGTTCTTTGCAGTGTTGGAGTCTCAGAAACTGAAGTCAGAAGGAACCTCAGGAGATACAGAGACCACTTCCCTGTCACCCACCTGGGGGACAAGGAATCCATTCACCCCAGTATGGTTTCCCCAGAGCCGAGAGCTGGCCGTGGGCTTTAAGGCAAAGCACCCCAGGTGGGAGCACCCTTCCCCTCACCAGGTGTGGCCTCTGGCACCTGCTCACTCTCGGAGGCTCGGCTTCCTCGAAACGGGAATAATAGCACCCACCTCCCTGGGCTGCCAGAGGACTGAGTGAGATAATAAACGTAAGGTTCTCCGCCACTTCTCTGATTAGATTTTTATTGCCCAGCCTGTCTTGAACACAGTTCTGACGGGGAGTTTGCTACCTGAGCAGAAGTGTGAGGTCACAGAAAGGGCACTGAACGGGAGGGCTGGAAACCTGACACTGACTGTGGTGGCTCCGATATGGGGCCACAGATCTTAGACTGACCAATGCCATGGGATTCCTACATCAGCTGGTTGAGAGGATCAGCCGAAAATGTGACAGTGTCCTGTGCACCGTGGACAGTGCACCGTGCAACACAAGGGGGAGGTTTCTCCAGCCCCACCAGGCGGCTCCTTCTGCTCTTTGGCAAGCTTGCGTTTTATCCCTGGCGTGGCACAGAACAGGACCGAACTTCTGTCTGCACGACAGCCCTGCAGATATTGGCAGACAGCTGCTATGACCCCGTAGAACAAGGGATGTCAAACCTTTTCTGTAAAGGGTCAGATAGTAAAAACTTCAGGCTTTGTGAGCCAGACAGTCTCTGTTGCAACTACTCAGCTCTGCCTTTGTGGCGTAAAAGCAGCCACAGACAGTGTAAATGAAGGGCCATGGCAATGTGCCAATAAAACTTTATTTACTAAAATAGGCTGCAGAATTCATTGAGACAGGGAGTAGATTAGAGGTAGTTATGAGGGGTTGGGGAGGTATTGCTGACGGGTACAGAGTTTCCGTTTGGGGTGATGAAAAATTTTGGAAATAGATAGTAGTTATGGTTGCACAGTGGTGTGAATGCGCTTAATGCCACTGAACTGCACATTTAAAAACAGTTAAAATGATATATTTTATGTTTCATATATTTAATGAAAAATTAAAAATGCAGCCCAGGATGGTCTTTGCTTCCTTGACGGTTCAGACTGAGCAGGCAGCCAACTAAAGAATCAAAACCCAGGCCTGCTTCATCGAGCCACAGCCAGGTGGGCCCCTCACACCTGACGTATTGATTTTTCTTCTTTGACACTAACTGTGGGATTTAATACAAAAATTCCTCTTGCTCCTTCGCTCCATCCTTTCCACCTGCCATAATCTTTCATGACCTGACGCTTTCATCTATTGTATCCTCTGTCTTTCCAGCTTGGTGCCATCTAGAAATGACCTTCGATGTACAGGACATGTCACTATGTCCCTGAGGGAGACGCTGTAGGGGCCAGAGCCAGCGGGGCTGCCATTGGATCATTAATCAATACTCTTCAGGTGCAACCGATCTGTTGGTGAAAATGTCACCTGGGGTTCTGATCCACTTCTCTAGATCTTTCCAAAAGGACATCACGTGCCATGTAGCTAATGCCATTTGTCAATGCAGTTACACTGTGTGCTGGACTCTTCCATCTACTCTTCCAGCAACCACAGGGAAATGAGGCCAAGTCAGGCACAGCTTCTTCAGAGCAAACTGTGCAGACCCCGGGCTCTGATTTCTACTCGAAGTGCTCAGAGCCAATCTGGGGGCAACGGTAAGCCAATTTCCTTTGCTATAAAAACTCCTGACTTCACCCTGAGATAGCCCCTACCCAGCAACCTCAAAGCAAGGTATGCATAGTTCTATAAAAGTACAAATGAACAAAAACACAAACTACATGCACTTAAATTTGATGGAAGCAAAGCTTTTCCTTTGAAAACTAACTGAGCAATCACAGCTAACGAGGTCTCAAATCTACTCTTATTAATTTTTAAATGCAACCTTTCCAACAATAAGTAGGGCAACTGTGAAAACCGCTTCTCGTGCAGATGCCTAGGGCTCTCTGAGCAAATGCCATTGTCCCTCTCCTTCTGACAGGCCCAGACATGCTGGCAGCACTAATGACGGCTTTTCCTTAGCGTTCACCTTTGTGTCCCAAGGGTAGAGTGAGAGGCTCCAGCAGACATGTTTGATTACGATGCACACGATTAGCAACAGTTACGGGAAATGTATGGTTCGGAGCTTGGCAAAACGTAAATCTACTGATTCTTCAGCTTGCAGCAAAGATGGCAGAAGCTGCGTTCTAAATGACCTCAGCAGATGTCTACTGAAGTTTCTAACTCGCGTGGGTGCACTCAGCCTGAGCAGCTTAGATCTGCATCTGACCATAAAACTTGGAAAACGTGTGCTCCCTGAACTCTCCTGGTTAACTGTGGAATGGAATAGGTGTCATGTGCAGGAGGAACCTGAGTTCCTGGGGGTTTAAGGGACTTGCTGAAGGTCCCAAGGCACCCAGCTGCTGAGGGGCACTAGGATCAGTATCTTCTTAGGCCACTGCTGCTGGCTCGCCTTTCAGTGGTCCCACAGTGACAGGGCACCCTTGAAAAACTGAAAAGGGAGACTGCCTCGGTGGCATGCTCACTGGCCCATGCAGCACACTTAACCACCTGCCCAGGTGAGCCCTTTCTGCAGGCTGGAGAGGCTGAGGGAGCCCCATCTTACCTCATCCGTGATCTGTCCTCCGAAGGTCACCCATGTTCCTGGAAGGAGACACACTGACTCAGGTTAGAGAACCTGCCAGGGAGCCCGATTCTCCCCGTGGGCACTCAGACCTCAGGCTGTGGGGCCTGGGCTGGGGGGCAGCCACAGGTGGCCACACTGCTCTGCGGTGAGCATGTCCTTGGTGTGCACAGACACCTGGTCTTCAGGGCAAGTCTTGCTCTCTGGGGGCCACCAAACTGACAGGATGAAAGTCTGCAGAGCATGTAGCCAGCTACAGGCCCAGGAGGCTGCGGGCCTTTGAAACACGCATCTGGAGCTTGTGCTGATGCAGCTCCTATTCTAGGGACAGAATGAATGAGGGGCGTCTCCCTGAAATCACACGAGGTCTGACAGCTCTTGCTGGACGGTGGGGAGGGGGCTCTTAGGGCAGGAGGGGGCGTATATTGTGTGCACTGTGGAGGTGGAGGACAGCGCGTTCTGGGAACAGAGCTCCCATCTGGTGAAAGGGGAAGAATGCAAAAGGGACTGTCCCCATGAAGCCGAGCCCGGCCATGGGAGGAAAGCAGTCTCCTGGCACGCCTGGGGCGGGAGGTTCTCTGATTTCGTGGTGCGGGGTGGGGGCCGTGTGTGCCAAGGGCTCCTGGTGCTTCTCTGCTCTGCTAAGGCAGTGTCCCTGTCCCCCTCCCTCTCCCAGCCCCAGCCTGCCTGCCTCCGTGTTGCCATGGCAACCAAGTCCTCTTCAATCCTGGGCTCTGGGTGCAGCCACCCTGGGTGGATGCCCAGGGCTGGGCCACCTCGCCTCCCTTCAGCCCTTGCCTGGTCCCCCTGCTTCCTCGGCTGGCACAAAACCAAGCAGGGTCCCCCACACTCACCAAGCCCCAGGCAGGAGACCCGCAAGCCGGACTTGCCCAGGTTCCTGAAAAACAAATGCTGCGTGAGTTCTCAGCACCAGGGCAGGACCTGCCTGCCAGCCTCGGGTCCTGCCAGTGCTAGCCCCCTGCCCACGCCCACCCCAATCAATGTGTGTTTTGAGGCTCTAAAGGCACGGGGACCTTCAGAGAGGCCTTGATTTGCTTGCCCCTGGGGGTAAAATGCCAAGTGACCCTGGCCCAGCACGGCCATGCTCAGGACAGATGGTCACAATGCAAGAGATGTTGTCTCCTTCTACGGCTGAAACCTGACTCATTTAGGCCTGTGGCGCCGTCCACGGGCACCCTGCTGAGAAGCCCTCTCCTTTTCTCTAGAGGCCACATTCGAGATTTCGGGTGTCTTCACTCTCTCTGAGAACAGGGTAGGAGAAGTTAGTCCCATGTCACCTGGCCTGCAGCTCCAGCCCTCGCTTCCCTGAAGCTGCCAGTGTGGGGAGTTAAGAGCCCCACGAAGGGCGGGGGTGCCAGCTCCTGTTACATCTGCTGCCTGGAGCCTGCCGAGCCTGGCAGCCCACGTCCTGACCAGACAGCTGCCGGGCTCCGTCATGGGCCCTCCAAGGCACACCCGAGTCCACACGATCAGGCCATGGGCCCTGCATCATTCACATCCTTGGGAGGCCGTGCAGGGTGGCAGTGTCTGCCAAGGACTGGCGTGCCTTTCTGTCCTGGCACACGCGGGCTGGGAGCCGGTGGGGGCAGCAGCAGGCCAGGTGGTCCTCAAGCATCCTGTTACCGGACCCACCCAACAGCTCTGCGTGGCAGGAGCCTTGCTTGTCAGGATGTCATTATTCCTATGGAAGCACACCCTGAGACCTGCCTGGAAGCAGAGGGGCTGGGCTCCCACCTGGCAGTCGGCTCTGAGCTCCTGCCCCCACCACAATGGCCCGTGCCCCTCCTCCTGTCTACGGGGGACGCAGAGTGATCTGCCCAGATGCTGACGTTGGCGAGTGCAGCAGCGTCACAGCCACAGCTGGGCCCTGACCCACCTGGGGTCCGACCCCACTCCCTCGTGGGCTCCTGCTGCTCCAGCCGAGGCGAGATGCCCTTCTAGGTGGTGGAGAGTCAGAGAGCTGCGGGGATGCCCGAGGTCACGCCCAGCCCTTCCCCCCACACTTCTCACTTCAGCAGGTGCTGTGTCCTCAGTTGATTCCCTTTTCTGTCCAAGCCTGGCCCCTGAAAAGGCAGTGTGGGGCCTGAGCCTGGCTCGGACCCTCCACAGCCTCGGTTTCCCTGGTTATGGGGCTCCTGGATCCCCCCACCCCCATATCATGAAGGGTCGTGGCAGGTGGAAATAACACTTGTGAGCAGTTTGAAAACAGTTGAATGTTTCACCAAATTGAAGGTAGTTCTAAGTTGCCCAGCTTTCTTTTCCAGTTTCCCATTAAAACCAGTCTAGCTGCCAGCCCGTTGTTCCACTAGGGAATAAGGAGCATGAGGGCAGCTGGTCTGTCTTTCAGGAAGAGGGCGATCTGGCAGTGGCTACAGGCAGAGGCTCTGAAGCCAGGATTCACGTCCTGGTTCTACCTTCCTGGCTGGATGACCCTGGGCATTTTAGGTAAGTGTTCTCATCTGTAGAATGGGCACACGATCCTGCCCAATGTTGCCGTGAGGATGAAATGAGATGAGGTGTGTGCCTGGGCACAGGTCCCAGGACACAGACTTACATGTGTCTCGTGTTCTAGAGGGGCAGGGTGCCCGAGGGAGACATGGCCCGGAACACGCGAGGGTAGTTTTCTTTATACAGAAACTAACAGGAAAATCAAACTGGCTTTAACTATTAGTGCATTAAAAAGGAAACGTTTCCCCTTGTTTTCCTGCTGCAAATCAGGGAAATAAATGAACAGTGCCCTCAGCATCGCCCGCAAGTCCCACCCAAGGCTGCTAGAAAAACAGGCCCGTCGGCATCACTTATAAATTTGGCATGAGCCAGTCCTCTCCAGTAAGTAGTTCAGGCAATTTCCCCCATGCTAGCTAGAAAGTAACTGTGGTGGAAATTACAGAGTTGCTTACAGGGGGTCCAACAACGAAGCAAAAGGGCTGAAGGGTTTGACCAGTGGTTCTGACTGTTTTGAGGTCACAGACCCCTTTGAGAAACTGATAAAGGCCACGGACCCCTTCCCTGGAGATACCGCAGACACGAATATCCTCAGAACCTTGTTTGCAACATCTGGGTTTTGGCAGAGCCCTGGACCCCACTGGGCACCTGGTCTAGACAAATCCAGGTGTCCAGAAGGGAGGCTGGCCTCCCCCCTCTGCAGAATCACCTCCATGAGTGACTGAGCGAAGCAATTTCCTGACCAGGCTCGGTTGAAGGCCAGGTTTTAGGCGCACCCCCCCTGAAAATGTTGCTTTTATCCAGCATTGAACCAAACGCCAGAAGGTGCTGCACACTCAGGGTGAAGTAGCTTTAGCAGCAGACACGTGAGGATACGAAACAAGAGGCTGGGCCCACCTGCGTCTGTGGCTGGACTGCAAAGTCACCCGCCTGCCAGCTTTAGAAGTCACTCCCGCTCCCTAAGCCTCATCTGATCCTGGTGGACTGGGGCGAAATGAGCCAGCTTCCCCAAATGGGCTCCGTGTGTCCTCCTGTCATAGGTCAGGGACCCAGGGCATCGGGCTCTCCAGCTGCCTCTCCACCCACCACCACCCACAGGAATGATTTAACAGAACTAGGGCACCGCAGGACGCCGCAGTGACCCCGCTCAACTTGTTTCCCTGTGGAAATGATGGTATTAGCTCTGCCATCCGCCGCCAGGCCTTGGGAGAAGAAATGAGAAGGGACAGGACACCCCCAGGCCAAAAGCTTTATAAATACGGCTGCTCTGTAGGGGAGGGGACCACTGCGAATCCCAGCCGGGCCTGGGCAGGTGCCGCGGCCACGCGAAATGCTCGGGATATGGAAATCGTTTCCGTAGACTTCTTCCCCCAAATTAAAACTCGGCATCATGACACAATAGTCGATCAAAGTTTCTAAACCCAACACTGCTGGTCTTCATTCATTTGCCTCTTGTCTCTCCCGCAGTCCGGGAAGTGGCCATTGAGGACTGTCAGACACAGCCTTTGCCACAGGAAAGCACAAGTGTCCATCACTAGCCCACCGGACACGTCGCAGCCCTGAACGCCGCACCGCAGGCCCTGGGAAGGGCCAGAGAGGGAAGCCTTCGGGAAATCACAGAACCTTTAAAAAGAGGAGTTCAGGGCCTTTCATTTTAGCCTCTGGGCTGAGGACAAGAATTTGATCAGGTGAAGGGAAAACAACCTCACTTCAATGCTGGTTTGAGGAATAAAGGGACAGGACGTTTTCCCGTCAGCGTCTGGCCCACCTGTCCGTTATAAAACGCCACATTGTGCAGCGACGATCTGTAAGCAGGTCTGCCCTGCTCGGGACTCCAGGCTCTGAAAGGACAGGCCTGGGCTTCCATGTCTTCATGTTCGCACTGGAGCTGGCGGTGGCAGGGACCCAGGGATTGTTTGCTGCTGCTGATGTTGGTATAATTCAGGGGTGAGAAGCCCAGGCCCTAGGGTTAGACCCTTGGACAAAATGCCAGCTCCTCCCTCACTCATCGGGCTTGGCCTCCCCACTTCCATGCACTGAGCACCTCTTGGGCTCTCTGGCAAGAGTGTGTGGTACCTCGTGCTGGCCACACACCTTTAGTTCCCTTAATGCCTGCAGGCTGTGTAGGCTTCATGGGACAGGTGTACCTGGAGAATTCCTGGCCCTGGAGCTTGCCACTGGCAGGGGCCAGCTTCCTAGGGAGGTGGTGGGAGATGGAGGTGGGGGGATTTGGATCTAGATCTGGCCTCATCCTTAGTCCTTGTAGCCCCCCACCTGCATGCTTGCTGTGGCCCTGGGACAGTCACTGTGGAGCACCTTGTGAGGCAGGATGGGAGAGATAGGCAGCAAGGGCACCCAATAGGGGAAGGTTCAGCCACTCTATAACTGCACATCACCCTACAGGCATTGATCCCTTGTCCCTTGCCTGACACCACCAAGAAAAGCTCACCAGGCCCTGCTACATGTAAGGGTCTGTTTGCTCCTCCACCAGAGAGATGGTCCTGTGGTTAGCAAATGCTGGGGCTGAGATGTGAACCTAGGTCCTCAGACTGTAAACTTATAGGCCTAATGAGCACCTCCCTTCACTGCCCTGCCTTGCCCTCCCTGCCTCCGGTGTGCACGTGTGAACATACACACATGCATGCACATACATTCACACACATGCACACACGTGGACACACATGCACAGGTACACCTGTGGACACATGCATATGTAAACACATGTGCACACACACGCAGACACATGTACGTAAACGCATGGACATATGCACACACATGCATATGAAAACACATGCACACAAACACAATGCATATGCCAACATGTGGACACAGACACAGTGCACATGTACACACACAGACACACAGGTAAAAACACAAATACATATATGTACACACGTGGATACATATGCGTGTGTACACATGCACACACACGGTCATCTTGAGCACTCAGGGTCTTAGAGATCTACCTCTCCATATGTCTTAGGAGGGAAATCATGTTAACAGCCACACTTTCCATTTCCATAGTGCTCATATGTTCAGAAATAGTCTCACTTGTATTAACTCCTTTGATGATCCTAGGATTTACTTAAAAGTTGCAGCAGATAACAGGTCTCTAACCTAAAAATTATACATATTCTGTTTATTCCTAGCTTTTGATCCCTACTTAACAAAGCATTAAATTAAATTAAATTCCCAGAGCTTCTAGAATAGAGAATTCCATTCTGGATTGTCCTCACCAGCTTACAGGACAGAAACAAAAGCTTAGTGTTCCAGAGGTTCCTTAAGAATATAGTCTTCTCCCAGGCCCCCGGGGAGGGTGGGATACGAGTGTGGATGCAGGATCCCATCATTCCAGAATTCACCTCGAGGAGGCGCTGGGCTTACCTGACACGGTTTTTACATGGGGTTCAATTTCCAGGCATGGGTTTTGGG